GGACCACAGGAGGGGCCAAATGGATCAGGGATGCTTTAGTATTCCTACTCCGGAGGCTGCTTGCGGCTTAGTGACCAACCTTGAGGCCACACGAGGTCTCTGTCATTGTCGTTGTGCTCTCATCCTCTGACACGAGCACACACACACACACACACACACACACACACACACACACCCCCCACCCGGTGCTCCTGATGTTTGAACTCACTGTGAGAAATTCAAATTCCAACTTTATGACTATGGAGTTGATTCTGACTCATAGGGACCCCATAGGGCAGGGTAGAACTGCCCCAGTGGGTTTCTGAGACTTAACTCTTGGAAATAGAAAGCTTCGTCTTTCTCCCAGAGGGTACTTGGTAGTTTTGAACTCCTGACTTTGTGGTTGGCAGCCTAACTTTTACTTATTATGCTACCAAGTAGACTTTTATTCTTAGCATGAATGCATGCACCTAGCTAATGAGCCATGGTGGTGTGGTGGGTTAAAGGTTGGGCTGATAACCACAAGGAAGGTCAGGAGTTTGAAAACCACCAGTTACTCCACGAGAGAAAGATGAGGCTTTCTACTCCCATAAAAATGTAGAGTCTCGGAAACCCAAAGGGGCAATTCTACCCTGTCCTATAGAGTAGCTATGAGTCTGAATCAACTCGTCAGTGAGTTTGTTTTTGAGTTAGATGACCCTAGCTTACAAAATTGATTGTAATTTCTGCCATTTCCATTTGTCCATAAAGCTGAGATGAAACACTATTTACGTTTTCAGGTATTCCAGTCCTTTTTTGTTGTTGTTAGCAAATATAGGAACTCAAATTTGCTCCCATTCTATTGATTTTGACCCATAGTGACGCTATAGGACAGAGTAGAAGTGCCCCTGTGGGCTTCCTGTAACTGCTTGCAGGAGTAGAAAACCTCATCTTCCTCCCAGAAAATATATATAAGAAAAAAATTAGATATAATATATATTAGAAAAATAGTGTATAAGATATTGGCAAACATAATTAATAGAAAATATTATAGATACATGAAATGAATACAATGCATATATAAGTACGTATATTAGAAAAATTGTCACATAAAACTATATTCTCTTTTCACCTAATTTGGTATCATTTGTATTTTCCTCATAATTTAATTATGTTGTGTCTAATTTAAATGTCGCATTCATCATTTAAAATGTTTATTATGATGGAGTGTTTACGTTACACACTCACCCCTACTTAGTGTTATGGGTAACTTCAAAGACCAGGTCATTCTGTGAAAGGCAGCCTCACAGGAAAATGGAGGATGATCATATCAGCTCACAGAATGGAGTATGACTACATCATTATAGAACTAACAACTTACATCATCACCTAACTGCCAAACTAACCATCACGACCAGTGCTGCTCTTCAGCCACACCTGTGCCTTTGTCACTGACAGACATAAATCATCAAGGCACCAAATACGATCGCTAGATTTTCTCTAGTGCACATGCAGCGTGTGAGGTAACCAGAGTCAATCAGTGAGGAATAGGTGTGCTTATTCAGCACTCTTAATGATATTTAGACTGCGCTAACACTTTTGTAATAATTCTTTGTCTATATTTTGTATTTTTCAACATAAAGTCAATGTGTGACATCACTGAAACAATGACTGACAGCATCTTTGAAACTAATAAAAGTCCGTGCCAGATTGCCATCCTAGAGGATGTGCTGAGTTACGCTGTCACCGATAATGAACTGAAGTGCCTGACTCACAGCGCTCTTGAACAGGCTGATTGTGCGGGTCCTACATATGATTCATTCTCTGAAAATAGGTTGTTTTCGCCCATGGCTTGCTGCTGCTTCTTTTGCTATCATTATTTATGAAATAATGGGTTGCTAATAACTTTGGTCATTTAAAAAACATCTGCTTGACCTCTGATAGTAGTCTGACACGTAGTTGGCTGGGTTGGGACTGTAGCATACACGCTTGTCTGAAGCAACGTGAGACCTCTGGAGACACTGAGGACCCACCCCTGCTCGGTTATACTACTTCCCTCAGTTATACTACTTCCAGTGTATAAAAAGAAGTTACTACTTCCAGTGTAACAAAGAGGTGCCTCTTTGTTCTAAGATCTAACAACACTGGAATGGCAAACGATTCTCCTAGGGTGAGGCAGTTCCTTTGAGCTGATGTTCTATCGTGATTCCAGGGTGATAAAGGTCCCTGTCGTGGACAAAGTAGGCTAACTGCTCCATATCAACATCCGTGGCTGTGAGTGTAGATCTCTTTCTACTTGTCAATAGCCTGTAGAAAATTTGGATGACAAAACTACTTGGTATGCATACTAATTTACAGTGTTGGGTCTATACAACTGGCACCCGGACTCTGTCCCTAACACCAGAAGCAAGAGAGTGTGCCCATCACTGCCCCTCTGGTCTGGATAGAAGATCAGGAGGGAAGTTTGCTCTTGCTCAGCTGATTGGGACTCAGGGTCTCTGCTCAAGAGCTCTAGTCCCACAAGAGTCCCAAGCTGACTTTGTGTTTTCATGATTTCTTAAGCCAAGGGATAAATAGATTCCAATTTTCACAAGCCTGCCTTAAAAGGGTTAACAAAAATGATCGTAACTCAGAAATGTTCATTCGTGAGACCCTCTCCCCTTAGCAGGCCATGACCACCAAACCCTGGTTACAGAAATGTTCCTTTGCTCATGCTACCCTTGCATATCTGTTGTTTCTCTGACATTTTTAAAACTTTCCTGTTTGTTTTCTCCACAGCCAGATCTGCCAGTGAGCCGAAGGCTTCAGGAGTAGGAAAGGTAAGAATTCTGAAACACTTTCTCCTTAGATCTTCTAGGAACTTCTTGAAGGAGCCCTGGTGGTGCTATTGGGTAAGTGTTGGTCTGCTAACCTCCAGGTCAGTAGTTCAAACCCACTACTTAGTTGATCCGTGAAGCTACTTCTCCGGTAAAGATTTTCAACCACAGAAATCCTATAGAGAATTGCTAGGAGTCAGAATCGACTTGTTGGCAGTGAGTTAGGACCTTCTTGAATCTGACCAGAATTCTAAAGAGAAAAGCTTAAGTAATCCAACAGGTGAAAGCACTCAAGCATATACTATTTATTAAAGAGAGACAGTAATAGCATCTTCATCAACATTGGCATTACTTCAGGATTTAAAGAGAACAACTGACTCTCCTTGACGAAAGTTACGGTTGGATTTTGTGCCTGGATTTCCCTATTTTCTTCTGAACTCTGCATTGATGTGCCCTTGTGGTCTCTGGTTCAACAAAATGTACTTCTCTGGCTCCAAACATGAATAATCTGTTGGCAGACATTAAGGATTTATCTTGTATAAGACAGAACCTCAGAGTAGATTAGATCTGAGAATAATAAACTCTGCTCTTAACAGATTGGTTGTAGACATTGCAAACACTATTTCAGTAACAACAAAAATGACAATAGATCAATCGAATGTTAATCAGGTTTCTTCTTTAAGAAGCTGAGTTGGCTTTTTAAAAGAAAAAAGTGTATTTTGTTGTTCTTGAGGGTATACATTACAGAACACACACCAATTTAACTGTTTCTCTATGTACAATTAAATGACAGTGATTCTATTATTTAAGGCTGTACAACCAGTCTTACCCTCATTTTCTGAATCATTTCCCCCATTTTCACAAACTCACCGCCCCCCAAGTTTCCGATCTGAGTTGCTGATAGGACTGAAAAGTACACAATGCTCAGGGAAGACACTGTGTAGTAATTAACCTACACTATCACTTGATTTAAAGAACTCTTCAGAGGATGTTTTTGGTTGAAGGCTTAAAGATTATCTCAGAGCAATAGTTTCTGGGGTTCATGCAGTGTCTGTGGCTCCAGAAAATCTGGAGTCCATGAGAATTTAAAATTATGTTCTGAATTTATTCCCTTTTGATCAAGAGCCACATCCTCTTCTGTAGACTCTTGGACTGAAATGTGCAATAACAGTACCCAGTTGCCACCCCGTTGGGGTCTTATGGCAGAGGAAGCAGCTATTGATGTGTATTTCCCTCTCCCATCCCTGACTCTCCCTCTTCCTCTGTTGTCCAGGTGACAGAGACCCGTTGAACCTTAGATGGACGCTTGCAAACTATTTTCTTATTTTATTAAGTTAATTTATTTTTATGTTGAGAATATACACAGCAGACAATTTCCCTATGTCCCGATTCAACAGTTTCTATATGTACAATTCCATGACATTGATCATATTCTTTGAATTGGGCAACACCACCCTCCTGTTTTGAATTGTTCCTGGCCATTAACACACACTCAAGGCCCACAAACTTGCTGGCTAGTCTTTGCAATTGCAGCTGTCAATTCTAACTTGGTCTTTGAAGCTAGCGAACACCTCGAATCTGGTTGTGGGACTGAAAGGTTGGGGAGGTGAATGATCATGTGTTTGTCCTCTCCCATTACTTTCTAGTAGGTGGTACCTGGGATTCTTTTCCACTTTAAATTGAACTTTATCGTGAAATTTTTCAAGTATGTCCTGAATAGAGAGAATACTATAAGAAACGTTTATGTGTCCTTCAGCAGGTGCCAACTCATCACTGATATTGCTTCATGTACACCCCTGTTCAATTCTTTTTCCTTCATTAGAATACAGGTGACTTAAATTTGATTGTGGGTTTTTAATTGTTTATCTATATAGCTACTTTGTGCTGGTGGCAAAACAACAACAACAACAAAAAACCCCTCAGAAAATCTACTGATAGCTGCTTCCAAAAGGTAGCAGCCTGGAAAACTCTACGGAGAAGTTCTACTCTGTACACGTGGGATGGCTCTGAGTCAGAATTAACTCAACAACATCTGGCCAGAACAACCATGTAAACCCTGACTTAGTGCGTCTACTAGAACTAGCCAGTCATTTATGGATTCATGCAGCAAATATTCAGTATACTTTTTTAGATGTGAAGGCCAAGTTTCTTCAATTCACCTGTGGTCACCAAATGTAAACCTTTAATATCTACAAGCTGTTTACTTCTTGTCAGACAACACACTGAAACAATGAAAAGATGACATCATATGTCTTTCGTTATTAAATATAAGCATTTAAAATATAACATACTATTTGAAACCTATCTTGCCATTTCTTTACCTTTTATTGAATCTGGAAATTAAAAAAAAAAATGGAAAGGAGAGAGGGAAAAAAGAACTCCTCCCAAGCTGCTGATAGACCTTCTGCTTTATTAGAACTACTTCTCCTGTAATTTGACTCCCCTTTAAGACTTAACTCTGAGAGGACAGGAGTAGTGCCTAACTTGCTAGCCACTTTGCCTCTGGGATCTAGCAAAGCATCAAAGCATTGCTAGAGTTAATTAAAATGGTTGACTAAATGGGCCAAAGAATGGGTTCTGGATGCCGAGACGTTGAGAATGAAAAAGACCCGGCCGTACACAAGAGCTGTTTTAGTCTCACCGGTTTCTGAGGTCTGCGTTGGTAAGGTGTGAGCAGAGAACGATGGGTGAAGGGACAGGTGTGCTGACAAGGAGAAGGAGAGTCCTGTGGAGGAAGGGGTGTGTGACCTGTGCTGTGAAATTATCATCAAATAGTAGGAAAATGGCATTCCAGGAATAAAGTGTCACGTGTGAAGCTACGCAGAGGCTCTAAAAGCCGCTGTGTATTCTGAGAAGCCTGTGGAATTTAAAGTGTCCAGAAAGTAGTGGACGGATGGGATGTGGTTTGAGAACCAGGCAGAAGAAGCCTTTGAAGACCTTGAGTGCTGTGCTCAAGGCTTTGAAGTCTATCTTACAGTGAGAAGGCAAAGAAGGCCAGATGATGAGATGGTGTGTGTGTGGTAATTCTTTAGGGAGCAAGATAAGGGGTAAAGAAATAGAGAGCGCCGAATGCGAGGGAGACGAGTGGCAGTCTTGGTTTGGAAGAAATGGATCAGGACATGGGAGATTAAAGATGAGAAGTGAGGGAGAGGATGATCTCTAAATAATAACCAGATAGTTCTTTGGCAGGGGAGCCCAGGTGGATTAGTGATAATGTGTCGGGCTGCTGGCCTCAAGGTCAGCAGTTCGAAAACCCCAGTATCTCCTCGGGAGAAAGACAAGGCTTTCTACTCCCATAAAGAATTTAAACTCACTCACTCACTCACTGCCAACAAGTTGATTCTAACGCATAGTGAGCCTATAGGACAGAAAGAACTAACCCTGTGGGTTCCCAGTGCTGCAACTCTCATTCTCCCTCATCCTTCTCCAATGGATCACCTGGTGGTTTTGAACTGCTAACCTTATAGTTAGCAGCCCAATGCATGCACTCTATACTACCTGGTTTCTAGTAAAGAGTTCCAGTCTCTATACTGTAGAGTACAACCCTATGAGTTGGAATGGACTCGGTGGCAGTGAGGATTTTCCTTGGCGAGACTTGATGGGTGGTCATAACTGAGCTACAGATGCATACAAGAAGAGAGGAATTGATTCAGATCTGTAGAGTGGCCACATTCGGGTGACTATGTCAGTAGGTTATTCCCAGACAGGTGCACAGCAGTGGTTGTAATCCCTGGCTGCACGTCTCAATCTCCACTACCTTCAGCAATCCAGTCAATCTCCAGGGAAGGGACCCAGGCATCTGTATGATAAAAGGTCCCCGGGGACTTTAGTGTGCAGCCAGGGTTGGGCATCTGGTGTAGAGTTTATTAGGAGAAGGGACTTTGTGCTTTTGAAACCCTACACAGCATTTGCTTCCCCATCGTGAGGCCCTTTGACGGTGATGTACTTCAGATCTGTCAAATGAGGACTGAGCCGAGCCTACATTTGACCAGAAATTGCTAAGCATGTTCTCTCATAAACAATTCTTGTACCTCGTGTGATGTTTATGTTGGTTTCCTTCAGGCTAATAAATGTCCTTCAATGCTTCAAATCAATCTCAGCAGTTTCTCAATCGGCGGACGCTGGCATGCTGAGTGTGACCAGTCTTCATTGTGTTCTTCAGTGTCCCTGCCCCTGGCTCCCAAAAGGCGAATAGCTTCTTCCAGACACGCTGACATCCGGAGTGTCCTGGGGAGACATTGCGAACTGCTGTGTCTTAGCACACAACCCATAGAGTGGTTGGTTACTTGGCATTTGCCACTTGCACCCCAAACCATTTTGGCTCCATGCAAAATGAGTAGTATCAATTCTGTCCAGTGTTTTCTTATGTAAGTGGTCCCTGGGTTAACGAACTAAAGAGAGAAATTAAATAAGCAAAGGGACATTTAAAAGGAAGCATTGTTTTACACAAGCAGAGGGTTTTTTGAACATATTTAGTCTGGTGCTGATTCATCTTTCCTTTTTTTCTTTAAATCTGTACAGAGAAGCAAATCAAACACTTGGTAAGAAATAATTTAATGTTGAAGTTTGAAGGAAACCATGATGAATGTATCAAGCAAACATCAGCAGTGATGAAAACTGTTCCTTTTTATTGTTGTTGTAACATATCGTCACTAAGTTCGTGGCTTCAAACAATGCATACCTGTTATTTTACAGCCCTGTAGATTAGTAGTGGTTATGCACTGGGCTGCCAACCACAGGTCAGCAGTTTGAAATCACCAGCAACTCCTGTGGAAAAAGATGGGGCTTTCTACTCTCCTGAACTACAGGGGCATGCTACCCTCTCCTAAAGGGCTGATATGAGTCCGTCTTGACTCAGTGACAGCAAGTAGATTAGAAATCTCACAGAGGTCGCATTGGGCTAAAGCCAGGCTATACGCTGGGCTGGGTTCATTCCTGCATGCCCTACCAGAAAATGTATTTCCTTGTCTTTTTTGTTTCTGGAGCCCATCTTCCTCCATCTT